CCGAGCCATGGAAGCACCCAGCTCCGATTTCACCAGTCCAGAGATCCACCATGGGGCCCAGGCCCTATTTTGAGACTCGGCTCCCGTGGAGGTTATCAAGTGTCATATTTTCAAAGGAGAATTCAAGGCACCCAGCACCCAGCTCTCGGGCCAGAAAACGCCTGTATCGACATGGGCTGACCCTTGGCCTCTGTTTCTGTGACTGTTCTCATGCCTTTATGCCTCTCTATTTTTGCCGAAGGTGTCTTTAGTGATAGATTAATGTCAATCTAAATAAAGTGTCATTTCCATGTATTTTAGGCAGTAAAAGTTCTGTTCCTTAATGGGCAGAAATAAGATTAGAGGCAGTGAACACGAGGTTCAGCTATTTTTTATAGCAGTTCTGCGTGAGTCTGCTGTCAGGACTGCGCCCATCGTGATGGAGTCGTGCAAACACAGGCCCAGAAATCAGACGTCCCCTGGCAGACATCAGGCAACGGGGCATTGCCAGGACGGGCCTTTCTCTGAACCATGATTTTGTGCAATGCTGGCCACGGGGTAAAGGAGTCGGATTCATTTCCCTCAGAAACGCTCAGAGCTCTGTTCTCTTCCAATCAGTTACTGGCTCTGTGGAAAGCTGGTTCGTCAGATTTCTCTGCTTTCCAGTTATTCACAAAAGTAAATAGAAACAGGACCGGCTTATCAGCAGGCAGCTGGGTGCCTTTCAGACTGTGTGGCATCCTTTCTAAATTCTTGTCCTGCCATTTTTATCTTAGAATTCCCATTCGGCTTCATTCTTTTTTTTTTTTTTTTTTTTTTCACACTTTGCTAGAAGGAACTTAATACAGTCTTAGTCCTTTTCTTTTTCCCACTGAAGGAAAGAAACAACAACAAAAAACCCTCGTGTGCGTCTTGTTGAAAACAATTCTGCATCTCTGCCATTCCCTCATGTCCCGGGTTTGGCGTCTCTCGTGTGTGATGGGAGGCTCGCTGGTGTTTCCTGTCCCTTGCCAGTTCCATTAGTGAATCAGGAGGAAACTATAGGATTTGCCATAGGTCTTCTGAGCTAAAAAAAATCAGTGCTAACAGGACTGTGTGGTTTCTTGGAGGGTGATGTGAAACCAAGGGTTTTCCGCTATTGCTGATAATTACCCCCCAAATGTGCTTAAACCAGGAAAAAAAAAAAACCCTCACTTTAGCTAACGTTTGCCGGCTTTCATTCTGGCATACTCCAGAACTTAACAGCTGTCTGTATTTACTCTCTCTGACGCCTCTTGTGTAATGGAGGTGCCTGCCATTGCCCTAGGGATGTGTTGAAATATATTTCTGGTCATTTCCGTAATTTTCTGTTCTTTAACATCTTGTCTGTCTGTGGACTCACTCACAGTTTCCCTGGTGGTCCCGTGGGTTGTGCTTACTAATAGCCACATGGCCCGGGAAGAAATTTGTCAGCATTGAGGAGAACGTCCTGAAAATCCCCGATTGTTCTTTTCTTCAGGAATACGAATGGGCCATGCTACCTCATCTCAGTTTAGGGGTACACCGGGGGCTTCTGTGTGGCTCAGCTTTCCTGGAGCTGCTAAGCCAGCTCTCCCAGAACCACAGCCAGGTGGGTCCTAGGAAATTCCAAAGTCTGCCCTCCCCTTGTGGTCTTCCAGAGAAGGAGGAAAGGGAGAAAACATAGTTCTGTGTTCTTCCCTACTAGTCTCTCTTCTTCTCTTCTTTGGGCCATTTCCATTTCTGATCATTCTGGAATGCTGGTGAGATGGAGAATAGCACATTGAAGAAAGGACAGTTGGGTCTCTGCCGGTTCTGCCACCTGGAAATACGTGTCGGGCAGTCCCTCTGGACTTCAAGTTCATTTCCATATCTAGCTGAAGCTCCCTTTTCCCACCCGGCCTTCATACTCGAGCCTCACCACAGCACCTGCTGGGGAGGCTTCTGTGTCCTGTCTATTCTTGGAGGCCTCCAGGGGCTGCTTTGTGGCCTGGGTGGGGATGCTGCCAGTAACGGAGGGGACCAGCACTTGTCCTCTGTGGGTGCTTTCTGTCCTTCCCTTGCTGCGCAGCCTGCCTCCACCCTGGGTCCTCTTGCGGGGTCCCTGACTCTTATGCACCACAGCTTAGAGTGGTCCCTGCCCGGGGCCTGGATCCGGTGGGTATCCCTCTTGTTCAGGTTCCTTTGAAGGTCTCTTGAGTCTGCTGAATTCTGCACTCTCCATCTGACTTAGGAACTCAACGTTTGGGGGCTTCAACCAGTGGGCCTATAGTGTGTCCACTTCTGACCCTCTCTGTCAGCCAGCTTACATGGGCAGTCCCAGCCAGCCTCCCTCCAAAATTAGTTGGGCCGGAAATGCATCTGTTTCTATTCCTGAACTTGCCCTGGCCCCAGAGACCCACATCATGGCCCTCCCACACAGCCCGGGGCCTGCAGTTCCACAGCTCTGTATCTGCTGGCCTCCAGTCCAGCTCAGTTGTGGTGTGGCTCTCCAGGAGGCCCCTGGGTGGTTTGGGGGAGTATAGAGAAGCACTAGATGAGGGATAGGGCACCATGATGTCCCCACTAACCTGATGTACTGGCCTCAGAGACCTCTAGCCTTCTCCTCACTATGCTAGTGAGGGGATAGACAATAGGTGGGATCCCTCCAGGCAGGGACCTGCTGGGGCATTTCTAGAATCTAGAACATGGGATTCTCGGCTTTCTGGCTTCATGGACATGTGAGAACAGGATAGTCCCGTTCCACACTGTGTCACAGGAGTTGCTAGGTAAAGGCTCAGTTGCCAGGCAGTGTCCATGGATCTGAGAAGAGTGAGATCACTTAACTTTGACATGATCCCCATCACATGGAGGAGGAAATGGAGGCTGCACCTGGTGACTGCATTGTGTAGGGTCTTTGCTGCTCGGCAGTGGTGCTGAGCTGTGATGAAGGGTTCACAGATGGGGCTGGCAGAGGATCGGCAGCTGGAGATGGGATGGAAGGGAGAGAGTCCCTTCTGTCTCTTCTGAGTCCCTTCTGAGTCTCTTCTGAGTCCCTTCTGAGCACCAAGGTTCTGGTCACCGCAGCTGGGCAATGTGGGGTCACAGCGAAAATAGCATTGAGATACAGCATCTCAGGCAGGGAGGTTTGGGGCTGCCCAGTGGCCAGTGGGGAGCACTTAGGTGCTTGCAGTAGGGGCCTGGTAGAAGGGAGTCATGCCTGAGGAAGGGTCTTCCTAGCCTGTAGACATGGGGACTCAGAAGGGGGTGTGTCAGGAGGCAGAGGAGATTCTGTGAGAGTCTAATGCAGTAGTCCAGCCTGAGTGTAGGTGGAGCAGGGAGGGTGGGAAGGAGGAGGTGGTGTGGGGCCTGGCAGAGTTGGAACCAACTTGCACTGACATAGGAGGAGGGGAAGGAAACTTAGGAGGAGGAGGGGGAAAGGAGGGGGAGGCAGAGAAGGAAGGGGAGTAGGAAGAGATGAAGGCCAGGGAGAAGTCTTGGGGAATAGTGGAGCCTCCCAATGAAAGGAGGGTCAGTGAACAGCTTTGCACAGAGAGCTCGTCATTCGGCTTGTAATGGCCTATAAGCCAGCAGACTTACACAGTCTCTGGGATTGCGGGACCGAGGTGGTGGCTGGGTGTGGGTGTGGCCTCTGTGCAGTAAGGCTGGCATCTAACTAGGGGACAGCTGGGGGGAAACACACTCCTTGCCTCCTCCAGGGGGCTGTGCTGGAGGGGCCCTGCCTCCCCAGTCAGAGAGATCTCTGGGGGCTGCTAGTCAGGGAAGTGGGTAGCTCTGGTGACACAGAGCAGACTGCAGGGGCCCAAGGGGGAAAGGTATTGTCCTGGCCAGCAGATCCCCTCATCTCAGGCCCTCTGTGCCTTCAGTGGGACCCCAGGCCCTCGGCTTTGTTGAGAACTGGAGCATGTCGGGCTCCTAGGCGCGTCTCCCTGCACACATTGTCTGTTTGGCAGCATAGTTGGTAATCCTGGGACAGTGGCATTTGGTAGAAACCGAATATGGGTTTCGAGCTTGAAAAACCACACCACGGCAAGACTGGCCACCAGGAAACCATGAGCTGCTTGTCACGTGGCTGTTTTGGAGGGAAGAAAAGAAAAACAAACACTCTTCAGGAAAAGAAGGTGCTGAATGTGCCTTTAGATGGCAAGAATTGCTTTCTACAAGTTCAGCAGATGCCTCGTTGCCCGAGGTGGGCAGCGACGTGAAAGGTATGACTTGGCTCTTAAAGAATAGTTAGGGTTTTTCTCCTCCAAGCGACCTCCTGCGTTTCCTGTATGGGCGCCGGTACGAGAACGGGGGGTGCGCTTCGTGAGAAAGAAGCAGGTTGCCGCCAGGTATCCTCATGAGGGAGGAGGAAGCTCTCCCCCTCTCCCTAGTCACTCCTCCTTTTCACATTTTATTTTCCAAGGTTAAAAGGTCTGTGAATTTGACCGCGAAAGTGAAAGCATCTTGTGAGTTTGGTCGCTGGTGGTACACACAGCAGGGAGCATCTCCGCGAGCGCGGTCACCCGTGCACAGGCTTGCTTGGGAAGAAACCCTGCATCGGGTAGCACCTTTATTAATAAGTCACTAGGCTGGGTCGGATCAGAGGCCTCTGCTTGTTCTCAGCGCACTGCCTCGCCTCTGTCTCCCAGTCCAGGGAAGCTCCTTCATCTCCTAGGACTGCCTTAGCCCAGCCTGGAGACCCCTCTACTCTCCTTGTAGGGGGCAAAGCAAGCTGCTCCAGGTGGGGGCAGGGAACAGCTTGGGATGTGTGCAAACATTGCCAGGTGGTTTGGCAATCAGTAAGTCTTCTCTGATCTATTTCATTTCATTTGATAAGAATGTTCCAACCTCAGGAAAGGAGCACCGCCTGTTATTTTGAAGGAGAGATCCTTTTGCTGTACCATTCGACAACGTAGTTACTCTTGTTTTATCTGATGGTTGGAGCAGAAGCCGTTCTGCTCAGCTTCATCGCAGAGCATTTGCCGATGGTTAAGTGATCCACACCTATGGAGCTTTCTTAACTGCCTAGGAGTTGGGTAATGCTGTGGGACACGGCTCTCCTATGTTCCTCTTTGAATATTGACTTGATGTGTGCAGAGATAGAAGCGTTCCCACATATGCGGCCCGAGTGTAGAGTTTGGTGAGTGTTATGGATATCTTTTGTCATTATGTCTTTGAGAATCCTATCAAGAAAGCTAATCTTTTCATGTGGAACTACTGAAAGCTTCCCCAAACCCGGGTCAAAGCGGTGAAATAAGGTTGTGAGTAGGGTTTCTCTGTTGATTTTGAATGCATTTGTTGTACAAATGAGCCTTTTGGGGACACCTTGAGGCGTTAGCTTCCAGGCTGCCCTCATGGAGACAGGAGGCTGGCTTTTGGGTTTTTGTCCCCAACAATAAACCTGTTAATAGTAATTAAATTATTTGTAGCAGCTACCAGTCCTTGAGTACGGCGTCCACAGCACTGCAGCATGAGAAACATTTAATCCTTGTGTTAACCATGTCAGATGAAGGTTGAAAGTGCTCTTTGGTCAGCTCTAGGGGAAACTGAGGCTTACAAGTGCCAAGAACCTGCGCATATGAAGTCACTTGTTGGAGCTCACACGGCTTGGGGGTATCTTTACTAGATCTGAACTTATGTCTTCCTGACTGCAGAGCGTGTCACGGGGACTGGTAGATGACTTACAGCTGTAGAACTATGTTCTGGGGCAGAATTCTGAAATATGGTGTCCACATTGCCCCAAAATACGGCCTTTTCCTGGGGATAGCCACTGTTCCTGGTTTTACTAGAACAGTGTGGCGTTACTGTCCTCATCTGTAAGCTGCAACTTAGAATGGCCTCTTCACTTGAGACTTTCATACATACATGTCTTTCAGCCCGTGTCACTCATCCGCACCCCTGGTGAATGTTCCTCTTGTATTGGGTTTTGTTGGTAAAGGCAGAGGGGGTAGAATAATGCATCTGGGGGATGTGCCTCATTTGTCCTTTATTAGAAGGAATTGTTGTCTTAGAACGTTGCCCTCTTAGAGGTGCTCGACTCTGAGAGAAAGTATTATGCAGGTTCTAACCCGGGGTCCCCAATCACTCACGGTGGTCTGTGGAGCTTGCGTGCATATGAAGGTTCATCTTGCCTGGAGAGAGGACAAGTAGCCTTCATTGGATCCTCTAAGGAGACCCCAACCCTCAAGGTATTGAGAACCCTGAGGGCTGACTCAGGGGCTGTCCTAGCTCCGGATATCATCCATGGACAGGTCCTTCCCTTTCCCTTTGACTCTGCCCCTTCCTCTGTTCCCTGAGGGTGCTGAACATGGTCCCTGTGATCCATGGAATCTATAAGAAAACTAGAGCCTCAAATGAAATTCTTGGGGGCTCTAACTCTACCTAGAAATAAGACGAGACTCTAACTGTGCTTTGAAACAAGGCTTATCCAGACCCCACATTGCAGCAGATGGCTTTTGTCTATGATTGTGCCAGAAGCTTCACCAAAGGGCTGCTTTCTGTCCTACCCCTCTCATTATGGCTACCCCCGCAGGACACCAATGTTCTAGCACAGGGCACAGCATTTAGACAGCTCAACATCAACCTGCCAGATACCCCTGGGGGTTTGCTTTCAGGAAATAACTGAGGGGCAGGGGCACATTACAGCCTGAGTGGATTCCGAGATTTAGCAGGCATTCCAGTCTTTCCAGCCATGGGGAAGTTACTCACCCTGTGCCATCCTCAGTCACCCCATACTTAAGATGGGGAAGCTCTACCTGCCATGTGAAGCTGCTGGGAGAAGCAGGCACACACAGAAGGCTTGGCTGGCTCATAAGTGTTCTGAAACTGGGAGCTAAGAATCACCTGAATATTTTCCTTAGAGCTGTGAGAGTTGGTTCCTGGCCATTGTGTGTTTGGAGGCTCCCTAATAATCCCTGGGTACCTTCAGCACTATCTGCTGTCCTTCGGGCATCTGGACATTCCCCTTGGCTTCATTCATAGCAAACTTGGTTAGTGGCATAGCAGCTGAATCCCAGCATTGAGAACTCACTCACTCATGCAGCAAATAGTTGCTGAGCGACTCTGTCTGTCTTGACCCCTGTTCCCTTGGAGTGGGAGTCTAGAGTTGTGGCTGGTCCTAAAAAACAGCTCAGCAAAGACCTGTGAGTGCAGATCAGAAGCACTAGAGAAGGAACCAAGTCCCTGCAGGAGAATGACAGGGCCTCATTAGGAATTGGGGGATGGCCTTTCAGGGAGTGCACTTCTCAGTTAGTTCCTGGCGGGTGGAAAGGAGCCAAGGAGAGGGAGGATCATCCCAGCAGGAGGAACAGCATGTGCAAGTCCTCAACAAAGGAGAGCTTGCTTATTCCAGGTATGGAGGAGGAAGTGAGGTTGGGACATGGCAGGTGGCAGAGCTGAGGCTGGTGGGGAGTCAAGGTGGGAAGTCTTGGGCCTTCAAGACCATGCCAAGGTGCTGTACTTTATTACAAATACAAAGCAAAGCGCTGAAGGGACGTGATGTAGAGTGAGCAGGAATGCAGAATCTCTCGGCAGGAAGCAAGGGTGAGCGGTGGGACAAAGCCTGTGGATGTCAGGTGGGGATGAGGGGATTTTGTCCTAATGAGTGACATCCTGCTTCTAATGGGGATTCCATCTAAGCCACTCCAGAGCCCTCTGAAATAGCTCTTTCTGAGTTCCATTTGAAAGGTGAGTCCCTTTGGTAGCAGCGTCCCTCCCTGTCCCTTGTTCCTGGCCTGAGTGGAAAGGGAGGACACGTGGTGCTGTTGCTAGATTATTGAGAATAGTTTGGAAGACCATTTTCCCACCCCGTTTGTCTCCATGGTACTTTCCCCCTCATTTCTAACAATCAAATTAGTTTATTCCTGGCCTCTGCTGTTGGGATCGATGTCTTTCTTCCACTTTGTTCTGGGGTTTTATTGTCCCTGGAAGGATCAACGGAAGGACGTTGTTGGTGCCAAAAGAAGGCCCACCTTTGCCTGGACTTCATCTACCAACCACTTGATATGCTTCAACTTTCATTGAATTTCTTGCAGAAGGGAAACTCTACCCACTAGATAAAACACATTTACAAAAGAAAACCGGTTAATTTCCTTGGTCATACCAACCCTATTGAAGACTCTCAGGGAGCGTGACCCCGAAGTATAGGGTGACCTGTAGGCCCCACTCTGAAATCCAAGTCTCAGGGTGTGGTTTCTGAGTGGACAGGGTAGACAGGGAGGGGAGGGGCCGACTCTGGAAGAGCCGTGCCAGGGGCCTGATGGGCACTGTGTCATGTGGTTGGTCACATAGGTGATGCCAGTACCTCTCTGCAGAGGATGGGAGGGGAGAGAGAGAATCCCACTTCTCTCCATGAGTTCTGAGAGGAGCTCCTAGGTCTGGTCAGAGCTGTGCCTCCATCACTCACGTGTGTCCCAGAAGGCTCTAGAATGTTCTTGGAATCTCAGGTGTCACTGTGATGGTGACCCAAGGACCAGGTGATCCTCTTCTTTAAAATATTACTCTCTTCTCAAAGATAGACATGACCCACCCAGTCTGAGGTCAGATGAGCAGCCAGGGTAGGATTCAGGGAGTGGAGAGAAGGCTTGTGCGGGCCAGGCACCACACATCCCTTCCTTAGAAGGTGCTAGGACAAGAAGGGCCTTCTCTCCATGCACATGATCAGATTTTGAAACTCAAAAAACCAGAAGTGGCCTGGTCACTTGTGGCCATCAGAGGGGATGATGGCCATCCTGCCTGGCCTGCCTGGCGCCCTCCTAATTCAGCCTGTCCAGTTGGAGATGATCTAAGATAGTGGGGATGAGCAGAAAACCCCTGATAAATCCTGGGACTCAGTCTGCCTGCCTGTCTCAGAACTGATAGTGTAGGGACCCATTTTTATTTTTAAATATTTTATTGTATTTTAATTTTTATTGAAGTATAGTGGACACACGATGTTATAGTAGTTTCATTTTACAACATCGTGATTAGACAATTGTATACATCACTCCAGTGCTCACCACAGTAAGTGTGACTGCCTTCCCTATGCTTTACTTGCCATCCCTCTAATTTATTCATTTTGTAACTGGAGGTTTGTACTTCTTACTCCACTTTACCTATTTTGCCCATCCCTTCCCTGCCTCCCCTCTAAACACCACCACTGTGTTCTCGGTGTGTGTGTCTGTTTCTGTTTTTCTTTGTTCATTTCTCTTGTTGCTTTAGATGCACGTACAAATTAAATCATCTGATACCCTCTAGATCCATCCATTCCATTGAAATTGGCAAGATCTTATTCTTTTTTATGGCTGAGTCATTGTACATTCACAGTCATTGTACTTTCCACAGCTTCTTTATCTATTCATCTATCAGTGGATCCTGGGATTGTTTCTGTATCTTGGTTATTGTAGATAATGCTGCAGTAAACATAGGGGTGCAGAGATCTTTTCAAATCAGTGCATTTGTTTTCTTTGAGTAAGCACCCAGTGGTGGAATTACTAGCTAGCACTATGGCACTTTTTTTTTTTCTTTTTAAGTTGGAGGGCAGTGTCTATCTTAGAAAGGAGAGTGACCACATATGAAAAATACCACATAGCATTAGGTGGAAAAAAAACACATAAAAATCATTCCCCAACCCCCAGTCCCTTGGTACTCAATGCTGTGTCTCCCACTGAGGTAAGGTCGTGCCACTGTCCCATGGCATGAAGGAAGGAAGGAAGGAAGGAAGGAAGGAAGGAAACCAAAAACAAGCTCCATAAGAGGTAGACCCAAGCCTACATAACCACCATGTGTGTGTTCTGAGGAGTCACAGGGCTCTACCCCCTCAGTGATACTGCTCCTTCTCCTTCATATGTAAGAAGACTGTGCTGAAGATGAAGGGCCCCAGCATCATGGCGAAGGCACTGGCTGGCACTGGGTTAGTAGGGCTAGGCCAAGGGGATGAAGGGCTCATACTACATGTACTGGACAGGCCTCATGGACACCTGAGTGTGAGAGCATAAGTGTGTGCAGTCTAGCCAGTTGTAATCCACTTTCAACTGGAATGCCCATACACATCAGCCAACTTGAAATGGACACCATATTTGCCACCTAGTGCCTACTAGATGGCACTAAAAATATTTCTCTTTTTAATTTTTTGACAAACCTCCATACTATTTTCCAGAGTGG